GGCGCTGGGCTGAGTGGGATCTGTCCCACATCCACACCTGCAGCACCTGTGGACTCACCTGGCTTCTGAGATCCCTGCACCTCCAGCCCACGGCCGCCACCGCTGCCCAGCTCATTCTGATCGCCCTCTGCTCAGAGCAGGCCAGAGATCATCACAAAATGCTCATCAGAAGCTGGGTGTGATGAGTCTCAGCTCATCAGAACGCCAAGGCAGAGGAGTCCGGCCCTCGCCTCAGCAGTGAGAGGAGAATGGATTGAGACCAGCCTGCACTACATAGTGAGACCCTGTCTCAAAAGACCAAAATGAATAATTAATATAACAAATAAATAGTATCACATCATGTCTCCTGTATGAAAGACTACAAACGATTTAAAGCGCAAATCAGAGGATAATAAGAAACAAGAAGGATCTTTTGCAAATAGGAACGGGGGTCAACAGATGGGGGGAGAGGTGGTAAAAGCACTTCGGTTGTGCTCTGTCCCTGAGCCAGCTTTCCGCGATGAAAGTAACCGTTCCGTACTGCAAACATCTACTCATTGAGTGGCTTGTGTTCGTTTCCATTGCACGGATGTAAACACATAGGCCCGAGTGAAAAGCACAAGCCCAAGAGAGAGTGCTGACGAGTGTGAGCAGCGCCTGCGCCTGTCTGCGGTCCTCCTCCCTGCAGACACCGCGTGTCCACTCTGCCCTCCTCTGCCTCTGTGCTGAGCCCAGAATAGCAGCCCTCTCTGTTCCCAGGAGGAGGGGAGGTTCAGTCATGCATATTTCTCAAACGCAGGAGAGAACTTCAGGCATTAAAAGGGCAACATAAAAAAAGGAGTAGCGTAGCAAAAACAAGGAAGCTTTTCTTCTTACTACTAAACATTCGTAAGAAATTTCACACCTAAAATTGTACCAGTTGGTCCCACTCCCAAAAATGAAGTAAAAGAATTTAGCTATTCGTACTTTGCATGTGAGAAGCAAAAGTACAAGTGCATACTACTTTACTGAAGGTTGATTATATGTTGTAATTCTTGCGAGTCTGATGAAAAGGTATTTGATTTTGGCTTAGTTCAAGATCTATCACATTATTTTCAATTATGCTCAAATATTTTAAATTAAATCTTTTTATTTTATTTTATTATTATTTATTTATTTATTTATTTATTTATTTTGAGACAGGGTCTCACTGTGTAGTCCAGGCTGGCCTTGAAATCACTGTGGATCCTAGGCTATCCTCGAATTTGGGGCAGTCCTCTTGCTTCAGCCTCCTAAACTCAGGGATGCACCACTCATCTTGAAGAAATAATTATTTTGACTGCATTCCGGGTGAGTAGAGCATGAAACTCACAATCTCACTGTCCATCTTTATTAACATTGATTGAACCGAACAATTCTTTTGCTAATCCACTATGGGAAAATTAAGAAACTACTATACATTGGAAACATTGTTTTTTTCTTTGTGGTACTTCAGACTGAACCTAGAGTCATCACACTGGGCAACATGCCCAGTCCTTTCTTATTTTTATTTAAAAGTCTTGCTAAATTTTGGAATTGCCCCAGCTGGGCTTAAAGCTTGAATCTGACATTCTCCTGCCTCAGCTTCCCAGCGTGCTGGAATTACAGATGTGCGCAACCATCCTGACTCAAGATGTACTTTTTACATGAACCTTAACTAGTAAATCTTCACGGATTGTTATCTGAGAGTAGGGTAGCGAATTGGTAAATCAAAATGTGACACAGTCCACAGATAATCTGGATCCTACACACAGGTCCTCTTTCTTTCTTTTTTTTTGAGACAGGGTCTCACTATGTAGTTGAGACTGATCTGGAACTCACTATGTAACTGAGGCTGGTCTCGAACTCAAGGGGATCCTCCTGCCTCAGCCTCCCGAGTGCTGGGATTACAGGCGTGCGCCACCACGCCCAGCCAGTTGATTTCTTTTTTATTCCCCTGGTAATGGGAATTGAACTCAGGACCTTTTGTTTGCCAGTCAGGTGTGGGGTCCCTGAGTTATATCCCTGACCCTTCTGGCTGATTTCTTAATGATCTACTTAATGGCCTATCCCCCCCACCACCATTTCCTTTCCCTCTTTTAGTCCCTTTCTTTTGTCTAATAATAGTCCACCTTCTCCTTTCAAAACATTGTAGGGCTGGGATTTAGCTCAGGGGTTCAGTGGCCTGCCTTGCAAGCGCAAGGACCCGAGTTCGATCCCCAGTACAACAACAATAAAAAAAAAAAAACCCACAAAATAAAAAAACAAACATCCTATATTTTAGGTTCCAAGTATTAGAAAACCATGCACTACTTGGCTCTCTGGTTTATGTCACTTCATATGAGCTCCATCCATTTTCCTGCAGTTGAAAGAATGAAAGAATGAAAAGAATTTCATTCTTTTTTATGACTAAACAATACTCCTCATGTATGTATGCTACATTTTCTTTATATGCACAAGGATCATCTCTTATTTGTCATTTCAGGACAAGCAATGTGAGGTAGGAAAAAAGAAAATGAAAACATATAAAAAAGGCCAGGTGTAGCCAGGTGCGGTGGCTCACACCTGTTATCCTAGCACTTGAGGGGTTGAGGCAGGAGGATCCCCATGAGTTTGAGGCCAGCCTACACTATGTAGTAAATTCAAGGCCAGCCTGAACTGCATAGCAAGACCCTATCTCAGAAAAACCCAAAGAAGCTAGATGTGATGGCTGGTGCCTGGGATCCCAGTACTCCAGGAGGCTGAGGCAGGAATGTTGCGAGTTTGAGTCTGACTTGATGACTTCGTGAATTCCCAACTCAAAATCAAACACAGCTGGTAGTGGTGGTACACAGCTTCAACTTCAGCACTTGGAATGTTGGGTGGGGCAGGAGGATGGCTGTGAGTTTGAGGCCAATTTGAATGACATAGTGAGTTCAAGGCCAGCCTGGATTTCATAGTGGGACCCAGTCTCAAACAAACAAAAGAGGTAGGGGGGCAGGCTGGGGATATAGCTCAGTGTGTAGGACTTGGGTTCAATTTTCAGTAACAAACCAACAAAACAAAAAGGTTCACCTGGGCTACATAGCAAGATGCTCTCTCAAGGGCCGGGGATTTAGCTCAGTGGTTCCACTGCCTGCCTCCCAAGCACAAGGACCCAAGTTTGATTTCCAGTACAAAAAAAAAAAGCAAGAACAAAAAAATCAGACCCACCAAATTTGCCGGGAGTGGTGGCGCACGCTCGGGAGGCTGAGGCAGGAGGATCGCTGTGAGTTTGAGACCAGCCTGGGCTACATAGTGAGTTCCAGGTCAGTCTCAACTATGTAATGAGACCCTGCCTCAAAAACCCCCCAAAAAAGATGTTCTCTCAAAACAGCTAAAATAAATAAATAGACTTGGGAAAATCCTTCACTTCAGATTTAAGATCCCTGAAAAATTGGCAGGAAATGGTTATTTAAGGGGAGAATTTTTACTTTTCTGTTTGCTTTTTGAGACAGTCTCACTGTGTGGTTCAGGCTGGCCTTGAACTCACCATGCAGCCCACGCTGGCCTCAATCTCACAGCGATCCTCCTGCCTCTGCAGGTGGTACCACCACACCTGGTGAGGAGAGAATTTTTACATTATTGTCCAACTATTCCTTGTTTAATGACCTACCTGCTTAACAACTGTTCAGATTTACAACCTGCTTCTCAGACTTACGATGATCTGTCTTTTTTTGGTACAGTTCTTGTATATCTCTCGTTTTTTGTTTTTTTGTTTTTTTGACCTGGGATCGAACTCAGGTCTTTGTGCTTGCTAAGCAGGCGCTGAAACCACTGAGCTAAATCCCCAGCTCCCTATACATTGTGTTTATAGAGCCTCAGTCTTTTTTGGTACAGTACACCCTGTTTATGCAAGTGTTTTGCTGCTTGTACTGTTGTTTTATGTTCTGTTATACTTTACAGAAATGTGTATAGGAGTTTTGCAAATAAAAGTAAGGTTGTCAAGTTGGAGTTTCCTTTGACCATGTCTTTGTTCCCAATATTGTAATGTACACACTGTACACAATTCCTCACTTAGCGACCAATTACTTAACGACCCAAGGGCACTCGGTGATTAAAGGGGGAATGTCTGTATATTAAAGGAGAGAATTGCTTTTCTTTTTTGAGGCTGGAGATTGATCCCAAGTTCTCACACATGCTGGACAGGTGCTCTATCATTGAACTATACCCTCAGCCCTTTTTATTTTATTTTGCTAAATTGCTCAGGTTAGTCTTAAAATTTCCATTCTTCTACCTCAGCCTCCTGAATAGCTGACTGGGATCAAAGTTGTGCACCACCAAGCCCAGCAGGGAATTTTGAACTAGTTTGTAAGTGAGTAGGCTAGGTTCTGTCTTGCTAGCTAGCCAGCCAATTGCCAATAAAATCTTACACAAACCTTTATTATCTATAAAATGGGTAAATTTTATTTTTATTTATTTGTTTAGGCTTTTTGAGACAGGCTCATACTATGTAGTTGAGACTGACCTGGAACTCACTATGTAGCCCAGGCTGGTCTCAAACTCACAGCGATCCTCCTGCTTCAGCCTCCCTAGTGCTGGGATTACAGGAATGCGCCACCATTCCCGGCTAAATTTTATTTTTGACAGAGGCTTAGAATTTGGGGTTCCCCAGTCCCTAGCCTCCCAGAATACAGGGATTACAAGGGGTGCACCACCGAGCCCAGCTTGACTTCGCCTTTCTTTACACCCTAGTTCCAGAATTCTGTTCTTCCTACCAGTCCCATCATTGAGTTCTGTCACACATGCTGTTGGCAAAGTCACCGGAAACTTTTCCTTTCCCCTCGGAGACACTGTACCCTAAAGGAGTTGTCAGCTTCCCAGTGTGTTCTGAGACACTGTGAACAAAAAGGTCAAGGAAGAGTAATCCCCACGGTCTCTGGAACAGGCAAGGGCCAGAGGTGAGTATAGGCCAATGGGGCGGGGGGCACAGGGAGGGACAGGAGGAGGAGCTCCTTTGGGTGACAGGAAGTGGGAGGAGATTGTTCCAGAGGGCCGGGGGCCAATTGGGAGTAAGAAGTATTTTCTTATCAGTTCCACCTTCTTGGCTGAGTATGGAGAACGCAAGAGGCAAAGAGGTATATAAGAGTTTTTGTGGGTTTGTTTTCTGGCTTTGTGGGTCTCTTGTTCCTCCTCCTCGGCTCTCCTGGTCTTTCTTTTTGGGGGAAAGAAGGTGGGTTAGAAATGACTCTTGCTAAAAAAAAAAAAAAAAAAGTCCTAGACCTAACTGCAGCTGGAGCGATGGTGGGAGGATGAGGAGGGCGGAGGTTCCCTGCGGGGATGTGGAACAAGCTCCTCTTATCGGAACCACCCTCGGGGCTGGAGCGGGGTGGTCTGGGAGGAGACGACAGGTGAGATATGATTTGGGGCCGGGGTAGCTGAGCTGAGACAGGAAAAGAACGAAAGCCCGCGTTTCCTCGGGCGGACCGAGGCCCTCATCGCAGGGGCGGGTACCGACCTGGTCTCCCGGCCCGGGCGCTGAGACGTGCGGATCCACCCGAGGCTGGGTCTGGTGACAACCGGGGCAGGACCCAGAGTCACCTTAGCGGGGAAGCCGGGTCTCCTCAGGCCCCACTTCCCAGTACCTGGCCATTTTCAGCTTTTTCTATTTTCAGACTTTTGTGAGGCCCAAAAGCGAACACTTGGTGAAAGGGTTATGCAAATGTAAATTCTGAATATAAATGTGAAGCTCCGGCAGAGATGTAAAAGTGTCATACAAATGTTAATTTGTCTCCGACTTTCACCTTGGGGGTGATTGGAAAAGATGCAGATTTGGTGGCGGGAGCTTCAGGATTTAGTTTATCTCTTGTGTGCACTGACTAACCTCTGAGACTCACCTTCTAGATTGTTAAATAAAGTAACCGTGACAGTGCTATGAGGATTTAGAGAATGAAATAAGCAGCACGTCTGATTCAACAAATATATTAATTTCTCTGTAAACAACTTATTCCCACTGCAACTTTGTTTTTTGTTGTTGTTGTTGTTATTGTTTTCTTCCTTTTTGGTACCGGGGATCGAACTCTGTCCTTATGTTTGCAAGGCAGGCGGCAGAACCACTGAGCCAAATCCCCGGCCCTATTTTATTTTATTTTTGAGACAAAGTCTCAATACACAGTTCAGGCAGGCCTCCAACTCACGTCAGCCCACCTGCCTCAGCCTCCTGATGCTAGGATTGCAGATGTGCACTACCATGCCCTTTTAATTCTATTAGCCAGTGTTTATTGTGTGTCTACTGTATGAGGAAAAGAAAAAAACCGCACCCTTGTGAGCATACAGTCCAAGTTGTAGGCAGTGATAAAATCTACAGCACTAATAAAATCTAAGCGTACAAATGGTGGGAGTAAGGGTAAGGAATGTGGGAGAATTGACTCTGAAGGCCTTAGAAAGGATTCTTAGATGAACACTTAAAATGAGACTCTGATGAAAGAGGAGCAAGATACGAGAGAGCTGGGACTGGGGGTGTATGTAATCCCAGCACTTGGAAGGCTGAGGCAGGAGGGTCACTGAGTTTGAGGCAATCAAATGCAATGACCATTTGGGGCTTTAGATGTGGAGTTTTTTGGTTTTTTGTTTTTTGTTTTGTTTTGTTTTGTTTGTTTGTAAACAGGTCTAGGTATGTAGTTCAGGCTATCTTTAAACACATTATATAAGCCAAATCTGCCTTGAAGTCACAGTGATCCTCCTGCCTCGGCCCCCTGAGTGCTGTGATCACAGGCATGCGCCACCACTCCCAGCAGATGTGAAATTTTCTTAAGGCAAGTTGAGTGCTGGGGCACAGTGGGCGATGACTGACTGTACCCTTTGCCAGCAGGGAGCCGGGAGGTCAGGGGAAGAACATGGAGCGGACAGGCAGCCGGCCACATCCTCTGCAAAGGGGATGAAACGGAAAAATCATGTGGAGAATGACGAAGGTAAGAGGTCCGTGAGTCCTTAACTCTTACTTCCTTAGGTCCAACAAGCCTCAGGAATTTTTCCAAAGGAATAGAAGCAGGGAAGGAACTTCCGTACTGCGCTCTGAAAAGCTCACTTCCCTTGGAGCTGGGCTTAACCCTGTCGTGCTGAAGCTGTCCTACCTCCAAGCCCCGCCATGCCAGTTTCCACAGTCACTTTGCCTGCTCTTGTTTGGAGTTGAGGATCTATCCCTGTGTGAGGGGACAGAGACAGTGGACCCTCAGGTTATGTATGACCTGAAGGCCTGCCACTTGTGCTTCCAGATGTCTCAGATACAGATTTAACCCTTAAAGAGTTCTAGAAGGAATGTGGCATCCTTTCCTGGGTGGGACTAATTGGGAAATCCTGGGCCAGTGTCTCTAAGGACACTGAGATCTGCCTGTGTATAGGAGAGAGACTTTGAAGGCTGTGTAGAGGAGCCTGAGGCTCAACCCACCAACTTGAGTTACAACCAGCCCTCTTGAACAAATTGAGTTCGTAAGTCAAGTGTCCACCATAGCTCTAAGTTTTAAATCACCCACCTGTGAAATTCCATGTTCTATCTTTTTGTTTTGTTTTGTTTTGTTTTTTTGAGACAGGGTCTCACTATGTAGTTGAGACTGACCTGGAATTCACTGTTTAGCCCAGGTTGATCTCAAACTCACAGTGATCCTCCTGCCTCAGCCTCCTGAGTGCTGGGATTACAGGCGTGTGCCACCATGCCCGCTTCCATGTTCTAGTTTAAAAATAACTGGTGATAATCGGGAACCTTGATAAGAGATCCATAGGGAGTGGGTGGAAGACTGGCTGTAAGTTGCATGGAATAATTAGGTAAAACCTTCACTTCCTGTTGGTGAGGTGACAGTCCGTGTGTGTCCCTGTGCTGGGTGCATCCCCTTGTGTTCAGGGAGTCTTTACAGGAGACCACCTGAGGCACTACGGTCACAGGAAGCACAAGAAGGCCTTGGAGCTTAGGAGCACTGCCCTGCCCGGGGCAGACCGGCAGGGTTACATGCAGGTGCTATCCCGGTTGTTTGTGTAGGATTATCCGCTGTTTATTTTGTTTCATGTCAAGACAAGGCTGATCTCAGGTCTAAGACTTCCAGCTGTCAGCCTGGACAGAAGTGCCCCGTGTGGGCTGAAGGGCTCCTCTGGAGCACGGAGTTTCAGAGGTGATGCTGGGGTTTAGGGGTGCGGAGTCTGCGGCCTGACCTGTCCTTTGGAGGCTCTGTGGTCCGCCTAAGCCATTTAGCTATCTGGTGGGGATAGGAGGACCAAGAGTGACTGCTTTTCAAATTCTGATAGGAGATGCCAACACTAATCATACTAATTCTGTTCCGTTCATTCTCCTCTGCCTCCTCCCTGTCCAGAGAAGAAAAAACAAGAGCGCGAGCTGCTAACACCTCCGAAAAAGGTGCAAATTCCTCCTCTCCCCGAGGAGCTGCCCCCCATCAACCTGATCCACCGGGACATCCTGCGGGCCTGGTGCCAGCAGCTGAAGATCAGCGCCAAAGGCCAGGTAAGGGCCAGGGCGGCTACTGCACTCACGAGGGGAGGACAGGAAACTTCCTCAAGGTGACTGTGTTTTTCCTTTGTCTTAGAAATTAGAAGCATATAAGCGACTCTGTGAATACGCTTACCCGCAGCAAAAGGTAACACACATGTATTTACCTGTTTATTGATTGTGGTACAGGGGAGGGAATCAGGCCCTTCACACTGAGCTACATCTCCAGCCCCTGATATTTTGTATTTTGAGAATCGCTAAATTGACGAGTGGGACTGGAACTTCAGTCCTCCAGCATCAACCTTCCCCTCTGTAGCTGAGATTACAGGTGTAGCCCCCAAGCTCCCCAGTCATTTTTATTTTAAGAAAAATCTGCAGGGCAAAAAGTTGGTTTTCACCCCAACGATCTTCATAAAGTGACCAGAGTGCCCTGCGTGGTGGTGGCCCCCATAACCCCATTTTACTTCAGAAGCTGAGGTGGGAGCGTCCAAGAGGGAGGCCGACCTGCAGTACAGAGCCAGACCCTGTCTCAAAGAACAGCAAACGAAGCCATGATAGAGGCCTGGCATGAGGGTGACCTGCCTGCGACCCAGCTACGAGAGATTGAGGCAGGAGGGATTGAAAGTCGGAGGCCCGCCTGGCCAGTTTGCCCACACCCCACCTCACAGTGCAATTATCTGTTAATGAATGTATTGGCATACTTCTGACACAGTGATCGCATTCAGCATGGGGACTTTGTGTCTGTACATCATATATCTTCATCCCTCGTTTCTCTTCCCTTCAATCCTTCCTCTTTCTCTTTACAAAACTTTGTTCGATTTTCCTTCTGTTCTTATAAAAATTTATATCCCTATTCCCTCCCTTCCCTTCCCTTCCTCCCTCCCTAGTTCCCCTTCCCGTTTGAACATTTTCTTCCTACTTCGCAGCATCTATTATCTATTTTGGTCTTTATTTTACCCTTAAGTTTCTCATACAATAGAAACAATGCGTCCAATTTATTTCACTTAAAATTAAATGTTCTCAGGGTGCGTCTATATACTTCAAATTATCTCAAACTTATCTATCTTATGATAGTGTAATACTCCACTGTACATTAAAAACTACACCTGTCCATTCATACACTGATGGCATTTGGGCTGTTTCCAAGATTTAGCTATTACAAACTGCTTCTATAAACATGGGTGTGCATACATCACCGTGGTGGATGCTTTTAACACTTTAGAGAAGATGACACGAAGGAGCCTAGCTGAGTCACATAGAAACACCACTTTTCACTTTTCCTTTTTTTAAAATTGAGTTTATTGGTACATTTGAGGTATACAGTACAGTTACATTCATCGTTGGGATCTTGTACCTTTACATGACAGGTCTTGGTTCTCGTTTTTTCCCCTTGTCCCTGCCCTCCCTTCACCCCCTCCTCCCTCCCCTATTTACAAATATAGTTTTTCACACCAGAGAAACTATTCGGTATTTACACATGTGTGACTTATTTATTTCACCCCAGCATCACCTCAATATGTATCAATTTTCCTATGAATGAATCTAATTTCTCATTTTTTATGGCTGAGTAGTATTCCATTTCATAGAAAAAAAACCCACATCTTCTTTATCCAGTTTCCAACAGATGGGCAAATGGGCTGTTTCCACGTTTTAGCTATTACAAACTGTGCCACTATAAACATAGGTGCGCATATATCGCTGTGGTATGGTTCTTTTAATTCTTTTGGAAAGATACCCAGCAGAGAGGGATGGCTGGGTCAAATGGAACCCTAATCCCAGCTCTTTGAGGTATCTCCATATTGATTTCCACAGTAGTTGCACCAGTCTGCACTCCCACCTACAATGGAGAAGGGTTCCTTTTCTCCCCACAACCCTGCCAACATTTGTTATTGGTTGATTTCTTGATAGCAGCCATTCTTTGTGGGGTGAGGTGGACTTTTACTTTTTGAGGCATCTCCAGACTGATTTCCACATTGGTTGTACCATTCTATACTCCCACCAGCAGAGGAGAAGCCCCCCGCCAGCCTGCATGCTCTCCGGCACTTGTTATTGGTTGATTTCTTTCTTTTTTTTCTTTTTTTTTTTTCTGGTACTGGAATGGAGCTTGGGACCTTACGCTTGCAAGTCAGGGAGCGCAACCACTTAGCTAAATCCCCAGCCCGGTTGATTTCTTGACAGCAGCCATTCTTTCTGTAGTGAGGTGGAATCTCAGCATTTTAATTTGCATCTCTTGAATGTCCAGTGATGTTGAACATTTTTTCATATATTTATTTCTGTTTCTTTAACTGAGAAGTATGTTGTCATTCCAGATTCCCATTTTTGGATTGGGTCTTTAAGTTTCGGAGGGTCTGATTTTTTTTTTTTTTTTTGAGTTCTTAATATAGTCTAGATATTAGCCCTTCAAAAAATTTTATTTTTTAATCCCGTTTCCCACCTCAACTCCCCTCCCTATGTACAAAAGCTTTGTTTCCATTTTTCCTTCTATTTTCACTTTTTCCCCATCTCCTTTCTCCCCCCTCCTCCCTTATTCACTTTCCCATTTGAATAGTATCTTCCCATTTCCCAACATCCATTATACACTTAGATATTAGCCCTTTGTTGGAACAGCTGGTAAAATTTTTTTCCCACACTGTAGGATGTCTCTTCTCTCCTTTTATTCTTTTCTGTGAAAAAGTTTTTAGTCTCACTATGCAGTTGAGACTGATCTGGAATTCACTGTGTAGCCCAGGTTGGCCTCGAACTTATAGCATTCCTCCTGCCTCAGCCTCCCAAGTGCTGGGATTACAGGGGTACACTACCACAGCCGGTCCTAGATGTTGATTCTTTACCATGGGATTGGGGTTTTGCTTATACCTGTGTCTTCAAGAGTTCTACCTATTCTTCCAGCAGACTAAGTGCTTCTGTTTTAATATTTTTTTAATCAAAACATTTATTGGTACATTTTAGGTATACATAATGATAACATTCATCATAAGGAATTTCTACCAGTACCTGATATATCTTGCTTCTTTTTGTATTTATATTTTTTTCCAGCTCTGGGGATCAAACTCATGGCCTTGTGCTTGTGAGGCTGGTGTGGCACCACTGAGCTAAATACCCAGCCCTATCTTGCTTCCTCCTTTTCTGTTTCAATATTTAGACTTTGATCCATTTCAAGTTTAGTTTAGAGGGTGGTGAAAGATAATAGGTCTAGCTTTAGTTTTCTGCATATGGAAAGCCAGTTTTTCCAGCAACATTTACTGAAGAGGCTATCTTTCCTCCAGTGAGGGTGTTCAGCTCCTTTGTCAAGATGAGGTAGCTGTATATGTCTAGAGCTGTTTCTGCATTTTCTACTCTGTACCATTGATCCTCAGGTCTGTCTTTTTGCCAGTACCATGTGGTTTTTGTCATGGTAGCTTTGCAGTATAATTTCAAGTTCAGGTCACAATACAGTTTTTAAAAATGGATGAAGCTGAGTGGTAGAGCAGCTACCACTGAGCCACACTTAGCATGCATGATGCACTAGGTTCAATCCCCAGGCTAAATAGCATCAAATATTGTGATGCACACTTGTAATCCCAGCAGTCCACAGGATGAGGCAGGAGGATTACTACAATTTCAAGGCCAGCCTGGGATACATAGTGAGCTTAGCTCTTTCATTTTGAGGCAGGGTCTTAACTAAGTTTCCAAAGTAGGACTCAAACTCCTCCTACTCAGCCTCCCTCAGTGTTGGAGTCACACATGAGGCCCATTTCAGCCCAGTTCTAAGAAAAGAATAGTTACCCCACACAGCCCTTTTGGTTGTGTGTTTGTTTGTTTGTTTTGCTTTTTGTTTTGGCAGTTCAAGTGATCAAACATGAGGTCTTTGGACTAAGCTACATCCCCAACGCTCGTGCCCCCTTTTGAGATGGGATCTTGTTCTAAGTTACCCAGCCTGGACTCAGACTTTTGATCCTTCTGCCTCAGCCTCCCAGTGTGCTGGGATTATAGGGCTGTACTTTTTAAAAATAATGTTAGGAGCAACATATTGGTGTGAAATATGTGCACATTGTGGAATGGCTAAATTGAGCTAATTAACACATGCTTTACCTCACATACTTATTTCTCTTCTGGTAAGAACATTTAAGGGCCCAGGATTTGGCTCAGTGGTTTGGCCGCCTGCCTTGCCAGAGTTCAATCCCTGGTACAGAAAAAAAGAACATTTAAAATCTGTTAGTAAATTTAAGCAATATAGTACATTGCTATTAACTATGGTTACCATGAAGAGACCTTTTTTTTTTGAGGTGCTGCGGATTAAACCCAGGGCCTTGGCACTGAGCTTCAAGCCAAGCCCATTTTTAAATTTTAAGATTGGGTCTTGCCTAATTGCCCAGGCTGAGTTTGAATTTTGCATCCTCCTGCCTCAGCCTCCTTAGTTCAGACTGGCCATGAACTCACTATGTACCTCATGCTGGCCTCCAACTGGCAGCAATCCTCTTGTCTCAGCATCCTGGGTGCTGGGATCACAGGCTTGGCCGCCGCACCTGTAATCCTAAACTGGGTTTGAATTTGAGATCCTCCTACCTCAGCTCCTCCCAGGGCTGGGATGACCAGGGTATGCCTGTAGATGTGACTGCCTTTCAAACTCTGTTACCATATTATCCTTCATGTTTAGCCCCATCTGCAGAACATTCCTATTACACCCAAGGAGACTAGGGTCAAGTCAACAGGTACTCGGAGGCAGAAGTCCCTGCAAGGTCCGGAGAGAGGGATGTCTGCAGTGGGGATGGAACTTCTTGAAGGTGACCTGATCCCTGCGGGGCAGCTGACCTCCCTGCAAGAGCCACCTGCTCTCTACGAAGAGGTCAGCACAAATGTGATGACCACAGCCACTCCGGAGTCGGTGCTGGCCTCTTGGGGCCGAATTGCTGCTGGTGCTGCCCGGAGGGAGACAGTGGAGCCCCCGGCAGAGGCATACGGTGAGTAGTCAGTGCCCTGCCCTGTCCGGAGAGCTGACTGGTGACACTGGCCTCAGATGTTTGCTTTCTTGCGTCAGGGATACTGAGGACTGAACCTAGGGCTCCACACTCATCTACCTCACCCATCTTTTGCTTTTTGTTTTATTTTATTTTGAGACAGGGCCTCCCTAAGTCTCTAACTTGCTCCAGGCTTATACTTACAACCTTCCTGCCTCAGCCATCCTAAGACTTCTAAATACCTCTGTTTAGGAACTTTATGCTTTCCACAGTTCTGGTCATAAACCAAGTTGGACAAGAACTGAATTAAATTCAATAGTTAGGTTCAATGTTGTCCTTATGAGGAAATTTGATTGGGATCTCATCCAAATAACCTCAAGGGCTTGGTGATTCCTAGACGCTGCCCATAAAAAGTTTTTTCTGATTCAGGTCTTGGACACAGCTGAGAATTTACATTTGTAATAATTTCCCAGGCAATACTGAGGATTCTAGCCTAGGGAGCATACCTTGAGAATTTCTGTTTAAACTATGGGTGGCTTCAGAGGGGACAGCAATATGTTTGGCTTCGTTTCTCTCCCTTCTTTAAGGAAGTCAAAGGATGAAAAAGCAAGATTTAAAATCAGCTATCAGAACCTAGGGTGGTGGCACATGCATGTAATCCTAGCCCTTGGGAGGCTGAGGCAGGGGAATTGCAGTGAGTTTGAGGCCAACCTGGCGCTACAGAGCAAGACTTGTCTGGAAAAAAAAAAAAAAAGATCAGTTATCAGAGGTTGAGCCCAGGATCTCCTGGCATTGAGTGAGTGATATTAAGCCGTTCTTTTTTTGGGGGGTGGGGGAGGGTACTGAGGATTGAACTGGGTTGGGATTTTGCACTTGGAATGTGGCAGGCGGCAACACTACTGAGTTAAATCCCTGGCCTTCAGCGTCCTTTCATGAGAGTCCCCAGTTTCTTCCTCCTGAAGCAGATTAATAACATAAAACTCATATGAGTTGTGAGCATTCTAGCAATTGCAATGGAAGAAGACCAGGAGCTGCTTTGCCGGATGCAGCAACTTTAGGAGTTGAGACTTCTGCACTGTTCCAGGAAGGGGTCTAAAGTTGTGCTTTCACTCTTGCTTATTGTGGTTTGGGTTTTGTAGTGCTGTGGAAGGGACTAGGGCTTTCAAGCCCTGCTAAGCCAGTGTTCTTCCCTTGCGCTCCCCTCCCCAGCCTAAGGTCTTTAAATTCCCCTAAAGGGCAGCAGGGTGGAGTTGCTGGCGCCCGGGGAATGGAAAGGATACCATCAGTCTCCGTCGGCTCGTGGTGCTGGGATGTCGGTCCTGAATCCCTGTCCTTCTGCAGGTGACAAGTGGTGCGTGGTGCATGGCTGCAGTCTCCCTGCAGATGCGGGGGGCTGGGTGCAGCTGCAGTTCCACGCGGGACAGGCCTGGGTGCCTGAGAAGAAGGGGCGTGTGAACGCACTGTTCCTGCTGCCCTCTGGCACCTTCCCGCCGCCCCACCTGGAGGACAACCTACTGTGCCCTACCTGTGTCCGCAGGTACAGAGCTCCCGGGGTGGGGGACGGGAAGGGAGGAAGAGGTGCATTTGTGTTAATAACCGTGGAAAGTTTCAAGTAAAGGGATGCTCAGCTAACTCCCCAGAAATAAGAGCTTAAAGGTGAAACCCGGAAACGCAGAGCTCTGGTACAGCAAGCTTTGTGTAATTACTACCAGCCCGAACACCATCCGTTAAGAAGTCTCCACCCTAATAAGGGTGGATTGGCGCATATGCTGCCGGCAGAACCCCAGCACTCTGGGAAGCTGAGGCAGGAAGCTTGGAAGTTTGAATCCAGCCTGAGCAATTTAGTAACTTAATGAGACCTTGTCTCAAAATAAAGATATAACAAAGGGAAGGGGTGTGCTGGGAATGTAGCTAAGCGTCTCAATGTGGAGGCTCTGGATTCAGTCCCCAGTCCTGCAAGAAGAGGAAAACCTAGAGCACCCTGATGACTGGTGTCAAGGAGAGGTTTCTTGCAAGTGTGGTCCTGCTGAGCTGTGCCCCTCCAACTGCAAAGAAGAGATTTGTTTCTTGAACCAGGGTTTCTCATATAGACTAGGCTGGGTTTGAACTCCCTATGTAGTTCAGGGTGGGCTCCAACTTGTGATTCTCTTGCCTCAGCCTCCCAAGCCCAGCCAAATGATTTCTATTTCTAAATAAGAATGGGGCCTGGAGGCCGGTGTGGTGGCACACACCTGTAACCCCAGTACTCCTAGAGGCTGCAAGTTCACAGCCAGCCTGCACTATGTAGTGAGTCCAAGGCCAGCCTGAAGTACAAAGCAAGAAAAAACGAACAGGAAAGGGGCTGGAGGTAAAGGCGAGGGTAACATGCTTGTCTAGCATGTATAAGGTTGGACTCCTGACACTGGAAAAAAAACAGGGATGATCCTAGAGTGCGAGTCCATTGAAAAGAATTTTCATGGAGGACATGCCTTAAGTTAATCAGATCAAGCCAAAGAAGATACAAAAGTATATATACTTGCTTAGATAGCAGGAGAGATTCAAAACAGTAAAGGATGCAGATAATTTGATGGTCGCTTGAGTAGTAGGAGGAGACAAAAATTGGAGCTACTTTCTGAAAGTACAAATGGAGATGTCAACTAGTAGGGTCTTTTTTGGGCCGGGTACTGGGGATCGAACTCAGGACCTTGTGCTTGGAAGTCAGGTGCGGTGCCACTGAGCTAAATCCCCGGCCCCCAGGATATTCTAACAATCAGAACCTCCCTGTGTTGCACAGGCCAGCCTCAAACGCATGATCCTCCTGCCTCAATCTCCAGGGGCTGGGATTACAGGCATGTGCAACCATGCCCTGCAAGTGTTTTGTTCTTTACAGTGCTGGAGATCAAACCCAGGGTCTCATGCATACTGGCAAGTGCCTCACCACTGAATTACAACTCCAGACCCCACACACACCCTTTATTTTGAGACAGAGTCTTACAAAGCTGCCCAGACTAAGTTAGAATGCTCATGCATCAGCCTTCAAATAACTGAGATGATAGGTGTGTGCCACTTCACCCAGCCTTTTGCTTTTTTTTGTTTGTTTTATTCATTTATTTCTTTTGGGGTACTAGGGATTGAACTCAAAGCCCTTGCATTGACCTCTATACCTAGACCTTTTTTAAAAAAATTTTGAGACAAGGTCTCACTAAGAGGCCCAAGGTGTACTCAAGCTTCCTGGAAGCCTCAGCTTCTCAGAATGCAGAAACTACAGACATGTGCCACCAGGATTGGCTGATCATGGTTATTTATTTATTTATTTGTTTGTTTGAGAAAGAGTCTCACTACGTAGTTGAGACTGACCTGGAACTCCCTATGTATCCCAGGCTGGTCTCGAACTCACAGTGATCCTCCTGCCTCAGCCTCCCGAGTGCTGGGATTACAGGTGTGTGCACCACACCTGGCAATTTTTGGTTTTTTGAGACAGCATCTCTAATGGTCTTAATCTCACTATGTAGCTGTCTTTCTGGCTGTCTGCCTCAGCCTCCTGAATGCTGGGATTAAAGGGGAGCTCCACCACACCAGGTTCTTGATTATTTTAAAGAACGAAATCAATAATTCCTTTTGGTTTCCCTCTTACTAAAAACAAACGTTTCACTTGCTTTATAGAAACAAGGTCTTAGGTAAAAGCCTGCGGTGGGATTAGAAAGATAGGATAAAGGGAGCCTCTCTGGTGCTTTGCCTCTTGAATCACCTGCCCTCATGGAGTGGTAAGTCTACAAAACCGCAGCCAGTGCGACCCCAAAGCCTTGTGACCTTGCAGACGCCCAGCTCACCGAGAAGCTGTTGGACCTCCCAGCAGTTACGCAGCTGCAGGATGGCGCCCCAGGAGCCATCAGCACCCTCCACAGGGGCGTCTTCCAGCTCTCAGGGCGGCCCCTGCCTGAGGGGACAGACTGGGTGCTGGGACAGAGTTGAGGGTCTCCAGCCTGTGTTGCCATCGTGGGAGGCCTGCAGCTGCAGCAGCTGTCCCAGCTCACCCTGCAGCCACTGAAAGACTTGGTTTCCACCCCTCGCTTCCCCATTTCCCTGAGCATTCTCGAATTGTCTGTTAGCATGTAGATTTGCATTTGCTTTCTGTAATTATAAAACAATGTACTGAAGCTGGTGTCCGGATTTTGCTTTTTCTTTTTTTGACACAGGATCTTGCTTTGTAGTCCAGACTAGTCTTGAACTGACTGTTCAGCCCAGGCTGTCCTTGAACAATTTGGCAACCCCTCTGCCTCAGCCTCCCGAGTGCTGGGATCACTGGCTGCCCCACGATGCCCACCTGTTGCTTCTGTTTTGTTTTATGGGATTGTGTGAGCATCCCCGTGAGCCCAGGAAGAGGGTCTCCTGCGCTTTTAGGGTGCTGCTTCATGGAGAGGAGGCTGTGGGGAGACTGGTAGACTTCTGTCCAGTCTCCCCCTTGGTGTGCGTGCCAGTGATGTGGTTCCTTGCTCTTCCTCTGCCTCATGAATACAGTGGCCGGGAGACTGCTGTGGTTATCTTGCTGTCCACAGGGAACAATAGGGGCACTAAGGAGGCTGAGGCAGGAGGACCACTGTGAGTGCAAGGCTACCCTGGGCTACATAGTGAGTTCAAGGACAGCCTGGAGTACATAGTAAGACCCTGTCTCAAAAAGGGCGGGGGAGGGCCGGGGATTTAGCTCAGCAGTTCAGTGGCCTGCCTTGTAAGCGCAAGGAGCTGAGTTCAGGGGATGGGCAGAGATCTGTGCCCACAAGCTGTGGTGTGGGTGGGGTAAAGTCTGGAGCTGGCCCTGCAGGACCCCAGGCCGCTTCATGCAGAAGGCCTGAGCAGACGCGGCAGGCATGTGGGCTGGGGTCTGCACAGCATGGAGAGGGGCCACGGGGACTGGCAGGGCAGCCTGTAAGACTCCAGTTTACTGAAATGAAACTGATGTCCCTAAAATATTAAGTAAATTTTTTTATTGAATTTATTGGTACACTTAAGGTATACAGTACAGTTACATTCATTGTTAGGATCTTGTACCTTTACATGACAGGTCTTGGTTCTCATTTTTCCCCATACCCCTGTCCTCCCTTCACCCCTCCCCGCCTCCCCATTTACAAACACTTTATTTCCATTTTTTCATTTTGTCATACTTTTTCCTTTTCCCTCATTACCTTTCCCCTACCCTTCCCACTTAAGTAAATTTTTACACTTTCAAGTTGGAGCTTATAGTTGAAAATTATGCTTTGGAGGGAGAAGGAAAGGAAGGGACAAGAAAAAAAGTGAAAATAGAAGGAAAAAATGGAAACAGCTTTTGCACTTAGGGAGGGGAGAGGTCTTGAGGGGAGATGGGATAAAATAAAATTTTTTAATTAAAACAATTTCAAAAATGAATTACACTTCAGCACGTGAACGTTAACCAATTATGATAGTCCGTGCTAGCGACAGTGACTCAACGGAATCTGATCTCAAGGGAGCAGTTATACTCACTGTCAGATGATTGCTAGGTGAGCTGAGCATATGGGGCTCCCTGTTGTCTGTCGTTTATTTTTCCCCCCTTGTTTCTGATAGCCTTAAATTTCTGCTTAGACAAAGTAAATTAATAATTCTGTTCCACATTCTATTCTCCTATGTCAAATTCCTATTGCACTTTTATTATTACTATCATTATTAGTTGTGTGTGCTACAAGAGATTGTTCCTAGGACCTGTTCACACTGAGCTACACCTCCAGCCTTGTTTAATGTTGCAACTGGTTGTGGCTAATTTGCTGAATCGCCCAGCCTGGCCTCAATCTTGAGATCCTCCTGCTTTAGCCTTTCAGAGTGCTGGGATTACGAGTGTTTATACTTTCATTCATTTGATCTTGTTTTGGATGATAATCACTAATCTATGCCCTCAAAAATTTCGTGATTCAACCAGCCATGGCAGGACACACCTGTAATCCTAGCATTCACGGGGGGAGATGCTGACATAGGAGGATGGCAAGTTTGAGCCCAGAATGGGTAATTTAGCAAGGCTCTGTCTCAGAGCAGAAAATTTAAAAGAGGGTTCCAGATATAACTCTTGAGAAGGCCCCAAGTTCAATCGCTACTACCACAAAAACAGTAACAAAGTACCCATTGCATCGTAGATGTTATATGTACCATTTTTTGTAATGCTGTGCTGGGCTGTGTGCTTATCAGCTTGGTAAAAAGCTGGGTGTTTTGGCTCATGCCTATAATCTCAGCCAGCAGGAAGCTGAGGCAGGAGGATCACTGCGGGTTTGAGGCCAGCCTGGACTACGTGGTGAGGACCTGTCTCAAAAAAACCTAAATAAATAAATCAATAAATGCATGCATGTCTTGGTTAGAATGATACCAGCCAGCAGGAAGCTAAGTAAGGCAGGAGGATCACTGCGGGTTTGAGGCCAGCCTGGACTACGTGGTGAGGACCTGTCTCAAAAAAACCTAAATAAATAAATCAATAAATGCATGCATGTCTTGGTTAGAATGATCCAGTAATTTATTCCCTTAGCTAAAAGGCTACTTTGGGGATAATTAGGGGAATTTGAA